ATTGTTGCTTAGAGTGGTCAGAAGACTGCATTTTGTCAGCGTCTTCACCAAATAAAACTATGTCATCAGCATATTCTAAGTCAACAAGTGAACCTCCTGGTAGAAGTTCAACCCCTGTATATTTAGATGAGGAGAGTGTTATCTCTAAAAGTACGTCAATGACAAAGTTGAACAAGAATGGGGAGAGTGGACAGCCCTGACGAACACCACTTGAGGTGATCAATTCTGATGACAGTTCACCATAAGCTCTCACTCGACCAGTTGTGTTCGAGTAGAGAGCCTTTACAAGGTTAATGTACTTCTTTGGTACTCCTTTCAGTGACAAACACTGCCATAGAACCTCACGATCAACAGAGTCGAATGCCGCCTTAAGGTCGAGAAATACTACCATTGTGGGGCGTCTGAATGTGTGTCTGTGTTCTAGAACCTGACGTAGTGTGAATATCTGATCTATACAACCACGTCCAGGTCGAAAACCAGCCTGGTTTTCTCTAGTCTGCTCTTCACGAGCTTTAGTTAGGCGTCGAAGTATTATTGAGGCTAATATTTTAGACACTATATTAGTCAAACTGATTCCTCTGTGATTGTCACAAGAGGACTTTTATCCTTTCTTAAAAACTGGCACAATCAGTGTCCAAGAATACTAAGCATCAGGAATAGCTGGGTCGTAATAAGAGAAATTATAAAAGCTAATCCTAAAATTTTTCTCTTTCATTTAAAATAGACATTCAGTCTTCTACAAAATGGCACTAAGAGTTTGTCAGTTTAACTACGAAACTCAATGAACACAATGTAGAACCTGACGCATGTGTTGCGGTTCGAGTTGTCATACCGTATTGGCACATTAGCATAAAATTATTTAAATAAAAAACCCAGAGTAGTAGAAGTAGTAACAGTATCAGTAGTATTAGAAAATATTAGGTATAGAAAGATGGGATTTTGGGACTCAGGTTGTAGAGGAAGATAGGGAGTGGATGCAAATTTTATTTATTTATTTATTTATTTGGACATATGAATATTGGTACAAGAGAGCGCCAATATATATGCGCCACACAAAACAATGAAAATTCGAGAGGAATACAAAGAAAGAAAAAAAAGCTAAGGAGCGCAACAAAAAAAAGAGAGCAATAACGAAGAGATTGGTGTAAGGTAATGTGCTAGTAATCAGGGAACGCAAAGGTACAATCGGAAGAAATCTTTCAGGTAAGGGAGACACAACCACTTTTTATGAAGAAAGTAAAAGAAGGTTACAGCAGGATCGCCACTGGCTTCCATTCTGAGCCATATCTGATAACGTCTCTAGCCACTGTGTAGCACCATCTTCTTCTGGAGGTACCTGAAAAGAAATTTGGATTAAAGGTGGTCTTAGTGACCTGAGAGCGTGACCGCAGTGCCCAAGGGACAACTGCTTGAGTTCGGTCACACACGACCTTGTTATGGGTAATTTTTGTGTTAGCTCCATCTCTCAGACCCCAACCAGGGAGTCGTGAAGGACCAACACAAGCCAGTCCTTTGCAGCTTTCCTTCATGCCACGACACCATGTCATGCACTGACCACCTCTCCGCTTTTTCCAACCAGTCCCAGAGTCGGCAAATGATGCACGACGTGGAATTCTCTGGGACGGCATTCGTAGAACATGTCCAAGCCACCGAAGTCGGTGTTTCAAGATGGTGACGTCGATTGCATTATCATCTCTGTGCCCGAACACACGATGCCGAACCTCTGCATTACTGATATGGTGTTGCCACTGGATGTCAGCAATCCTTCGGAGACAGCGATGATCGAACACAGAGAGTCGTCTAACGTCCTCAACTCGGAGAGGCCAGGTTTCACAAGCATAGAGCAAAACTGCTCTCACCGACGCGTTGTAGATCCGACCTTTTACAGCCAGACTAACATCACGAAGGCGCCAAAGATGGCCCAGATTGGCATAAGCCGCTCTGGCTTTCACTATACGTGCATTGATCTCATCACTCAGGCCACCACCAGCACATATGCAGCTACCCAGATACACGAACTTCTCGACTACGTCTATCTGCTCACCATCCAGGGTGAGTACAGGATTGGAATCCTGCCAGTCTTGTAGGAGTACTTTGCACTTTGAAGGTGCAAAGCACATACCATACCTACGGACACTGATTGCCAACTGATTAAGTGCGGATTGCATGCCTTGGGCATTATCGCACAGTAAGACAATATCGTCCGCATACTCAAGGTCGAGAAGTCTTTCTCCAGGCAACAGATCCACACCACCATTACTTACATTCATCAGAGCTGTTTCCAGAATGTCATCGATGACAAAGTTGAAGAGGAATGGTGAGATCGGGCAACCCTGCCTAACCCCACTACTCGAATGGAACAATGGAGAGAGGTGGTTGTATGCCCTCACTCTGCCTGAGGTGTTTTTATACAGGGCTTTTAGGATGTTAATAAACTTCTCAGGCAACCCTTCTTCAATAGACAATCCCAGAGAACAGTTCTGTCCAACGAATCGAAGGCAGCCCTGATATCAAGAAACACTACGATTGTTGGCCTTTGATAAGTATGGCGGTGTTCTAACATTTGGTGGAGGGTGAAGGTATGATCAATACATCTTCGACCAGAACGAAACCCAGCCTGCTCATCGCGAGTCAATCTTTCTCGGGTTTTGAGCAACTTACGAAGTATGATGGAAGCCAATAGCTTGGACGCAATCGGAAGTAGACTTATCCCCCGATAGTTGTTACAGGAACGACGTGAACCCTTTTTAAAGATAGGGACAACTATCGACTCATTCCATGACGTTGGTACACTCTCTAGTTCCCAAACCTTTGTAAACAACGTCGTCAATTCCTTAGTCAAAAAGTCACCACCATCTTTAAAAAGAGCCGGAGGTAAGTCATCTGGGCCAGGTGATTTGTAACGCTTCAAGAGTTGGAGTTCCTTGCGGACTTCCTCCTCGTTTGGTGGAGCAGTCGTCACCGGCCATGGAGGGCAGGACAGTCTGACCGATGTTGCCGGAGCAGCAGGCCAGTTGAACTGTCCTTCGAAAATTTCTGCCCACCGTCCAAGACGTCGATGGATGTTAGTGATTGGCATCCCATCATCCTCGCAGATTGTTTCACTCACACCAGACTTCTTGCTGCCAGTGGCTCGGATGAGCTGGAAGAGCTTCCGGTAGTTACCAGATGCAGCTGCTGCTTCCAGCTCATTAGCACGCTTCGACCACCAGGCTTTTCGGTCCTTACGCAAGCTTTGCGCAATTTCCTTACGTAACATCCTTCGTTTATGGTCAAACTCACGGTCACCCGGAGTAGACCGACGGGCTTCAATGAGTTGTAAGGAACCAGAAGAAACCCAGTGCTTAAAAGCGGGACGTTTCGCGAACCCACAACTGACTGTCCCCGCCATTTTCATGGCGTCATGCAATTGCAACCAATGCTCATCTATACTTTTCGGTGGAGTGGTAGCTAGCCTAGAGGCTAGCTCGGTTCGATACTTACTTGCAACAGAAGTTGCAACCAGCTTGCTAATATCAATCCTTTGCTGGCGGTCACTTCGTTGTCCACTGAAAAGTAAGGCAAGATTGGCGCAGACCAAGGCATGGTCAGAGTTCAGATAGGTACTCCAAAAGGAGCGGCAGTCTTGCACACAACCATGCCAGCGGTAGCTGATCGCGATGTGATCAATCTGAGTCCAGGCTTGGGATGCAGAGGGAGGACGCCAGGTGGCACATCGGCGATGACTGTGGCGAAAGTTAGTGCTAGCCAGAAACAGGTTGTGGTCTGTGCACAGTTGCAGTAGACGGTCCTCGTTATCTGACCTGCGACCAACGAGTCCCCATCGGCCACCTAAACGACTCTCTTCTGTGCCTAGACGCCCGACCTGAGCATTCAAGTCTCCGGCTAGTACTACAATATCTGTCGAACGCACTTTCTGGAGAAGAACAGATAACTGGTGGTAAAACTCATCCTTGATTGCATCCGGGCTGCAATCTGTCGGGGCATAGGCGGAGATGACGAAAAGACATCGTTTCTCACGCCGATTTCTTCTCACTTTGATGGAACTTTCTAATCTAACAGCACATAACCGACTGTTAATGGGGATCCAATCGACTAGTGCTGCCTCAGCTCTAGCGCTTAGTGCGACACCAACGCCTGCAAGACCAGACGAAGATGCCACAGGGTCCCCGGATAAGCGCACGTAAAACGAGCTTTTCGAAGTGACAGATGTAGAGCGAATTTGTAGTACTTCGCCAGAGTCTTGAATACGGGTCTCGGATAGACAACAAACATCAATATTAAGACTTTCCAAAGACATAGCCAGCCCTATCTGTTGACCAACCTGCATAAGTGTGCGAACGTTGAAGACAGCCAGTTTGAATGGCGCACGTGGTTTCAGAAAAACTACTTCAGTACTCATATTCGATGGTAACATACAATTTTCAACCGGACAGTGACTCGAGAACGTTTAGATACAGTCGAATTTCCACCAAAGACGAGCCGCTGTATAAGTATAAAAGAGGGTGAATAATGTGGAAAATAATAATAATAATAATGACAATAATAGTAATAATAATAGTATTAATAATGACAATAATAGTAATGATAATTATTTGAATCGACTGATTGTTTTTCGGAGCGAGAAAAGTGGTTGCCATAGACATAGAGTTCATCGTTTGTGTGTGGGCTGTGATACTGCCCGGGTGCCCAAACCGAAGCAGGTGGTTTTCTTAGGGGGCCACTCCCCGAGCCTTTGACCTAAAGGTCTAACCCACAAGACAGTGGAGCATCGTAAGGAGATGCAATCCCATGGTAGCCGGTGACCAAAGATTGGTTCATACGCCATTTGTTCCTGCAGGATACTGGAGCCCATGCGCACCATTGGTTTGGAATCCGGGTAAAGCGCCGGACATTCGCTTTTCGTCCTCTCATTTTCGTAAACAACACCCCCGCCACGAGAAGGCAATTAGTAGGACTTCCCTGGCAAAGGCTATATACGCGTGGCCATGTGAGAGCATTTCGAGAGGGAGAGCGGACTCACCCCACTCTCGGCCGTACCATGGCATTCGGGGGCATGGATGCAAATTCTTCATTGCGAACTATTCGTATCCATGTCACTCTAAATCTCCAACTATTGTTTACAATAATCAATTAGTTTTCTTCTAACTTACTCTTATACTAGAATATCCTCCATCGAGAACAAAATACTATCAAAGATTTACTCACTTAGAGCTAAATACTTATGCAAAGTGAGCTTTTTGAAAACTCTATCGTATATTCAATTTTATTTCAAGATAAAAACAATTGCATTTCTAGGTTATCATTTACAAGGCCAGAAAATAAAATACTTTTATCCTCAAATATCAATTTTATTGTCATTTAATCATATGACGTAAAACAGAAACTTAATAATTTTTCATCACTAACAGGTCACTTCATTTAATAAATTTTAAAAGTTCACAATCAAAATTATCTAGTGATTACAACATAAAACTGTCATGTGTTAGTTATTTATCTACGTGCTATAAGTTTTGATTATTGAACAACTACGTATGTATGTACCACTTGACTTCTAAAATATTGTTAAATTTCATATTACCATAAAGTAATATTGTCTAAAAAGTGATTTGATTAATAGTCTATAAGTGTGTATGGGAAGTGATATCTTTGAAAATTTTGATAAAAATAATTTCTCTTTTAATGACATGTTATGTTCCTTAAACACTATAGTCGATGCTTTTTTATGATTTTATTAAAACTCCCTTTGTAAAAGACTACATTAGAGTAGACTAAAGAATGACCGCTGTGCAAACCATATAGGTAATAAAAACACTTCCTCTCATAATTTAATTTACAAACTGATTTGTTGATTTATTAAAGTTGTTTACATAGATCAATGCAACATTCTCTATTCAGTTACTTTTTAATTTTGTTTAGTTTGTGTTTATATCGTTCTATAGTTATGCTATTCCGAATAAATTCTGGGAATTAATGGAACCATATTGTGCTGAAATAACGGAGGCGAATGTCAGTTACTTAGAAAGCCTTATCCGATCATATCAGCATTTGGAATCAATTTACTTTCATTTGCCTGTACTCAAACAAAGTGAATCGTGTAAAAATGAAACCAGCGAAGCACCAGGTAAGCCTTAACTGTTGATATGAACTATCCCCTTTATTATTCAATTAGTTTTATTTTTAATATTTTCTTTTCTAATTATCAATCTATACACATTTCACTTATTGTTCACCTGACATTCTTATTATATAGTTGTTTCATCTTAAGTGATTATACTCATTTGATGTTTGTAAAGAACCGATTAATTTAAAGATAATATCGGCCATTAAATGAGGTTATGACAAAACATTCACTCATCTTTTAAAGTGCAAAGGTTCATGTACTCGGCTTTAACTTTGTCTAAGGGAAAGTGTGAGACTACTCGACAGCTCAAATGAAATTTATGCTAAGAGCGAAGAGGTTAAAACTGATCTATTTGTTGAGTGTCGTAACTATGATACTATCATTCCACAATGTTGTGGTAAAAAGCCATTGAAATACACACAACCATGATTAACTGCTTTCTTCTAGTCCGAGAATATTCAGTAATTTAAATCCAATCCGGCAGTTAGATTCCATGTTTCACAGTATATTTACCTATTACTACTCCAGCATTATGAATTTATATAGTTAACACTTTTCAAGTTGGAAAGTATATAGTACAGTAATTTTCCTCCATAATTATCAATGAATGACTTTTTGCTATCAAGTTGTCTGGTATTTAGATTGATTACGTCATAAAGTGAACATCTCATGGGCACGTTTCCTTTTATTTTTGTTATGAACTGTATTAATTCAGTAGTACTTAATACTTAGTAGCCGAGTATTTTAAATTGCCTGTGATATTATCTTATCATGTCCATACAATCCGAATAGTATATACTAGGAATTACACTATCCTACGAAACTAGTAGTTAAATCACATTGGCGTCATTATATTTTTGTCTTCTATTTCCAACATAACATAATTCTAATTTGTTTTTCTTATCAGCTTGCAAAAGACTTAGACGTGGTTCTTCTCAAATTTTTCAACAGGCCACTACAGACGAATCATTGTGTTCATTGAATAACTGTAATTCGTCCATGTCCTCAACTCAATTGCTCAATGTAACCAAATACTTGGAAACAGAGCTCAAGTAAGTGTAACACAAATGAAAGTAGATAGATTATTGGTTCTCTTATATAATTGGCGTTGTGATCCGACGTTTAGATGTATACATGCCTACTGTTAAAACAGTCACTTATTCAATAGTTGATCATCAGCGACTCCTTTTTTACTTGTAAGCCGAAGTTACTAATACTTTAATTCAGTCATATATTGACAATATTTTTCTGGAGAAATAATCTTGTTTAGACTTTTTAGTCGAATTCTCATTGATTATTAAACCTTTTGTGGACTCCTGTCAAGATTCATCACTGAATGATTATCCACTAATTTTTTTTACGTGAATTAATACTCTTGAAGAAAAGTACGAAAAAAATAGAATCTAACCGAAATTATAAGTTTTCCGGTTTCAGTAGCAAAGCAGTAACGTGACTTCGCAACTAATTGAACTAATTGTCTCATACAACTGTCATACACAGACCCATTCAGTCTTTGTTTCCTCAGTTTTTTTTATTTCTTTTGATCAATAATTTCCGTGTTTAATATTGTACTGCCAACTATATTATTATTAGTATTATTATTACTGTCACTATCATTATTATCATTTCAACTCTTTTACGCTTCACCTTATTTACTCCAACCCTTATCGTGCTTATGTGAAGTATATATTTGTATCAGGTTTTAAGTAGTCTATAACTGGCCAACTGATCATCAGTTTAATTGTACCGAAACTAAAGGTTATCCTGGTGATTATCTCCAGGATTGCAATTCATTCAATATGTAAATGCCAATTACATATTGACCTTCTCTGAACAACTGGATACCCAATTGTTCACATTTTTTACCTACGTCTATTGGCCGTTTAAAGCGATCCTCAAACAATGCCATTGTTAAGTTCTTTCCGTACTCTTAGGTCGGTTAAGGAAAGAAGTCCTAAACTAAAGGGAAGCAGCTGTCCAGCGCTCTTTGGTCTCCTTTCACTGATAAGAAGTCTCCAAAAACACCACACAAACAAGTTAATGCTCTTTGCTATATCCATAAATCAAAGTCAGAGTTTCGACTTTTTTTCGATATACAAACAAGCTACTTATTCTCCCATATGTTTGTTGTTCTTGAGGGACTTATTTCAATATTCATTAATCCCTTGATATATAACTTGTAATTACTATCTTTTTCAATCATTTATCATATATGATCGATAAATCGTATAATTATCTTTGCTTATTGGACTTTATCACTCATTTCAGAAAACCAGTCCCTGAATCTTCTATGTTAAGTAAAATATCTCAATCCCTTTTGGAATCTTGTTATCAAGACGATATACTGTCAAATTTTAGTGGAAAATTAAATTTCACAACAAATCAAGGTAGGTATCTATTTTTTACATTTCTAATTAATTTCAATTATTCGCTTGTAAAATACTCTTCGACAAATTCGCCTAGTATTAATAATAGATCTTATAAGCAACAAATATTTAATAAGCAAAAGTATAGTTTAAGGACTAAACAATCAGAACCAATATAGGGAGTGTTGGGGTTTTGTGCAAAATTCAAGAATGGGTGACATTTATCTCATATCACGTGAAATAAAATCAGTAGAAATACACATATGTATAGTATTCAGAACATTTAAAGTCATGAGGGAAAACTATTTCCTATCTGTCATATAATAAATGTGATGATGTTAAACATAGTAAATGTTCAGTGTTTTCTATGTACGCAATACAGTACATGGAAATTATTCCTATAACCTAATCTTAACCTTAAATGTCGAAATCCTAACCAGTGACTGTGTAAACCCTTAACAATCTGTTTGTATCCCCATAAAAGTTCAAATAAACTCACCTTCTACACCCATGAAGAAGTATTTAGATGGTTTTTTTCAATTTATAGGCAGAACATCATATTAGAAAACTTTGATGTATGCATTAATTATTTAAAATCTGTGTACTTTTTGCAATATTATTGTTCTGATTACCATTCCCCAAATCTATTTTCTGATTAGTTAGCAGTTGGCTACAATTCGTCGTGGTTGTTTTAAGCTCGTCTGTATAATATACGCGAGATAGGATATGTGACCGTAAATGTATAGAGCAACTGCTTCTCAATCTTCAGTATATGTGCAACGTTTAGCATTTTTCCATTCATTTAATGAGTAGATACTTCATATAAGAGCATAATTTTTAAAAAGGATTTCGTTTCAAACTTTAACTTTCACAATTTACTTGTTCAATCCAGCAAGCTCGGGTATGCTACGGCATCGTGTTCACATAAGTTGATATCTCTAAATGGTTAAAATGAAGTTCCTAGTGAAAACTACAATTTTATATCTAGCAGTGACATACCAAACGAATTGAAAAGTACTCGAAAACGCTAGATATCTTGTTTGTATTGAATATTGAAAAAGGATGGTTGTCCTCACACGTTTTAACTGCTTAAATGATATTACTAGTAAGGAAATAGACATTTTTAACTGAACCATTATAGAATGTCACTGTTTATATATTAGCTTTGACTGTCCTGTTAGTGTGTGTGTGTGTGTGTGTGATACATATCAATATTTTATCATTTCTTACCTCATTTCAATTTTGTGTAACTGGTAATATGAAGTGGGTTTAGATAAGCCTCATACAAAAAATATTTCTTGCCAGCGTGTTACATAAACCTGTATTTAGTTCGATAAAATGATTTTACAGAAAATTAATTTTAAAAAAACACCATCTCATTTTTGTTTGATTGTAATCATTGACTGAACTACCGTTTATAAAGGCTTTATTTAAAAAGTAGCCGTAATAACAAACAGACAATTTTCTCAAATTTTTGTTCAGTGTATATTTTAGCGTGCTGATTATCCGATACCCATTCGATGTCTGACTAGTTTTTCCACTTTTACCATAGCTAATGACACTTATCACAGTGGTACGTAACAACAATTATAATTAAAACCATTATAAAAACCGATTTTTAGTAATTGGTAATCTCAGTCACTATCTGGGAAGTCAATAACAATATTTTTGGCAAATGCCTTTTTTATTTAAACACATAAACGTTGGTACAATGCGGCACCAAATATACATGCGCCGCACTTCGTCATCTGATTTATGTGAGGACTGGAAAACTGCCTGAGTGCCCAAACCGAAGCAGGTGGTCTTCTCAGAAGGCCACCTCCAAGCCATTGACCTAGAAGTCTTATCCACAAGACAGTGGAGAGATGCAGTCCCACGGTAGCCAGTGACCAACAATAGGTTGGCGCGCCATCTGTTCCCTCAGGATCCTGAAGCGTATGTGCACTATTGGTTTTGAACCAGGGTTTTCTTGCTCTTCTAAGTGGTTCCTTTGTATCCACCATCTTGGTTAAAGCGTCGGACATTCGCCTTTCGTCCTCTGAATTTCGTAGACAAGACCCCACGACGAGAAGTGAGTGAGTAGGATTTCCCTGAGTGTTTGTATACATGTGGTCATGTGAGAGCGTTTCGAGAGGGAGAGCGAACTCTACCTACCATCGACCATACCAAAGCATTTGGGGGCCATGAAGGTGGTTAGTTAGGTCTTAGTGAACATTTTTTTCTTAATAAAATAGAGATGTATACGTAAATGTTTCAAGTGATATAACTTTTTCGAGCAACAAAATCAGTCTCAGAGGTATAAACTATCACTGAGCAATAAAATTACGTCTCATCTTTTTGTTTAGTATTAACTCAGTGTATTCAGATCTTGGTTGTTGTGCATTTAAAGCATTTCTGCGACTGTGATAGTCACAAAATTATTTTCATATAGGAGGTACAAGTAGAATTAATTAGTATATTATTGAATAAATTATCTGATATTTTGTTAAGCTCTTCATGTGTACATTTTCCCTATCTACTGTTCACCTGAGTATATGTAAATAAATGGTTTTAATCAATCACTGTTATTCTCAGTGATATCAGATTCTGAAAAGCTTTTGTCATAATTTCTTCTTTTTTTTTTCTATTGAACAGTAAAAGATAATGAAGTTGAAGATAATCAATCAGGATGTACTGATCCTAGTAGTTCCGATTATGGAACTATATCATCTGAAGCTCTCCATGTCAACAGATACAACAATAACACCAATTCGTCAAACACATTGATAAATTCACAAGTGACGAATTATCCGTCATCAGGATCTACGATAACAAATCACAATTTCTTAATCGATCCACACTTGCTTACTTCACGCGCTAGTGAACCACTTAAAAGTATAGCTAAACAATTACGTGTCAGTTCATCATATCGAGTAGAAAAAAAGATTGCACAGGCGATTGATGAACTGGGCTTGTTTCCCCTTAGTGTTTTACATCCAAAAGTTTCACCTTTGGTTGAATCTAAAGAAGATTGCAATCCTCACAATATATCTTCCGGCGCAGTATGTCATGATACTGTTTCTCATTCAACAAAGTTAATTATCCGAAAAAATAAAATTACTTCATCAAATTCAGTGAAATCAAGTCCATTGAAACATTCAGATGAAGTTCAAGATACTCTTGAGAAAAATCATGTTTTAAAAAAACGTCGAGTGAATAATGACAAATCATTATCTCCTTTACCTGAACATCACAGTATGTGTTTCTCATTATATTTGCCTTTAAAAATATATCGTCTTTGCGTTTGCATTTATCCTCCGACATCTCGATTTTAATTTCCCCTAGTATTACGTATAACAAGTAGTGTTTCTGACATTCCATTTTATTTTTAGATATCACTTTGTGTCTACTGACAAGTAACATAAATTTTATGCAAAACTTTTAACTACAAACTAGAACACCCAAAGCAGGTTGAACCATATGATTTACATGTTCAGTTGTATTAAGAAAGCAATTCTTTCATTCTTTTCATCATAACTATGAGATAATTACATGTAAACATTTGTCAAGAAGCTTTAACGAAGTTAATGTGCCCAACCGAACTGGAGAAATTGAAATCGCACACTGAAATTATTCATAACCTTCTTCCTTTCCATAGTTATACGGCAATGAAGACGTGAGTTGAAGGACGGTTTTATAAGGCTGAAATATTTAGATGCATCATAACTTCTCTGTTCGAGGTCGTAGGGATTGTGAAATTGGGTGACTTGAGCTGTTATCAGATATGCCTCGGAATAAAAGCCATCGGCGATCCTGTTATAGTCTTCTACTACTCTTTATAAAGTAAGATAGATTCCACCAACTGAAATCTTTCCTGGTTGTGTTTTTAACCTCATTGTATCTCTAATTAAACGCCGTTTTCACTGATTTCCTTATCGAATGTATTACGCTTTCACCCATCTTATTACAATATGATCGCTTCATTTCTGTAGCGCGTTTTTTCGGTGACCTATTGTCCCAGGATTCATATAATTCAGTAGGCAATAGCTGTTTTATATAGATTATGAAATTTGGAAAAATCAGTGTTATTGAATTCTCTAAGCCAGATGGTTTTCATTGTCTTTCTGCATAAAATCAATGCTTACTTCATGTAGAAGTGAGTTTCCTAGTTGTTCCATAAGCCTTAAATCGTTCTATTTTGTTACCCTTGTTTGTGATTAATTTTCGTCATAGGTTTCATTATTTGCATTTTTGCTTTGGGACGAGAAAAATCAACTTGAATATCAGAATAAATAAAAGTAATGAAACCTACGACGACAATCAATCTGAAACAAGATCAACAAAGCAAACCTATTCAAGTTTCAGAAAATAACTATTCAGCTCACTTCTACATGAAGTAAGCGCTCATGATGTGACAGTGAATGACTGTCATAATATGTCATATACTGATTAAAGTTGACAATGCCTGAAGATTCTAAGTTATGTTACTGGTGTCAGGGTCACAATTACACACTACTTTGTCGTCTCAAACTAGAACAAAATGACTGTGTAATCCCCTCTGATTTTTAATGGCTGTTTAGTTCATATCAGTTTGTGATAAAAATTCATTATAATCGTCACTTCTGTGCTACGATTATCTACCGTACTACCCTACGTTATTAATTTCATTCACCCATGCTATATATGTTTTCTTTCTAAAATCTGCCACCCCCCCTCCCACTATTAACAAATAATTTGACCGTATGCTATTTTCAATAATATGCATTCGTTTGCAAAATGTTCTTTGATATGAACTGGTGCTCTTTTCTCGCTATCTATTCTCAATATAATTTTCTTTGTTTAGAAAATATAACATACAATTCACGTTTGAATTAATCGTTTTTATGTCTGTGTGTATGTGGAGGCATTGATCGCAACTTTAATTTATTAATGCTATCAAAGGGCATAGAGATTAAATCGTATTCACACAAATGCTATAGCACTTTATTTGTTTATAGAAATAGAATTTGATCTATTTAAATCAATATTTTATATTGTTCTCTTTGTTGTTTTCAACCTATTGTACACTATATTCGATTAACAAACACTAAAAAGTTGTCTTAATGTCTGTATTGCCTCACTTAGTTCTCGTTGTTTTTCACTCTCTCTCTCGCGTGCGCTTTCTTTGATTAACATTGTTATCATCATTTAAATAAATTCAACAATTCATTATTTATATTCACGTTTTGGGGTTTTGACAAGGTAGCATTTTGAATAACCTATCGAAAATAATGGGACACAAAATAACTATCATTTGTCAGATGGATTTTTCCAGTCAACCAATGTTGAATCGAGTTCGTGATCTAGCGTATATCCATAGCTGTATGTTCTATTAAAATAACAAATTAACAGCATATATAAAACAAAGGGTAGTGGTAGATGAATATAATTTATCGGATGGTTGTTTTTTGGCAAAAAATTTTTAATCCCGTTTTGTCCAATGAAATGATTAGTTTTAAAATGGTAATTATTAGTTAGTAATTTCCGAAAAGTGATATGAAACTTTAACATTCCTCGAGTGATCACCTTTTCTTCAAACTATGAACGTAAATAACTTACAAAGCACTAGCTGTATTGTTTTTAACGTTATCACGGATATCGATAACGTGTTCCTGGGTACGTTGCATCTGATAGCGTCTGTCAATGAACATTCGAGCACACATTTTCAAAAAACAAATTAACCAATCACTTAATTTTTTAATCATACCCAAATAATTTTGACCACTAGGGTTCAGGAATCAATAAATGTCAGTCGTCATAGGTTGACCGTCAGTGGTGGAGTTTCGTTCTCTGAGTTGGATGGAGAACAAAACTACCAAAACCACCCACTTGTGCTACAAATTTTCTCCACTTCTGCCATTGGTTGTGTAACGTTTTCTGTTCATTGATATCACGAACCGATCCAACTTATGTTTGGTCCACTTTATATGTAAACGGTTTCGTTAAAACTTTATTTAAAAAGTTACACTTTATTTACCCCATTAAATGTCGGATGCGTTATGCAACCACGGATGGATAACCTCTTAAACAATAAAGAATTTAAAATAAATTCTATCTATGGCAGTAAGAAGATACATATAACAAATTCTATCTCAAAAAGAATACGTGAAATTGAATGCTAAAATGACAGGAAATTAGATTAAGCTTAAATTAAAAGAAATCAACACATAACTGCTTTTCTGTAACAATTTTACCCGTGTGAACCTCAACTAAATAATACCTCCGAGCATACAAGTCAGTAATATTTACTTTTGAATGAGACTTATTTCACATTGTTCATAAGTTTAGATTGATACTTAACTGCAGTATACATCAAATCGTCCAAAATCTTATGCCTTGTATCTTTCTAAAGAGAACCCAAATAACGTAAGAGATTAAAAATTTGTTATCTGAAATGCATTCCCTTCCATAACAATAGAGAAAAGTTCTCTTTTATTTATCGATAAAAAATGTCATACTACTACCCTTACTCATTTTGGAATAAGATCCATCTTCATATAAACTTGGTTCATAAATCAACATTGTTTGATAACTTTCATGAATTATCATTTATTTAAATGTACCCATACCCAGTCGTTTCGCTTAAACAACCTGGTCATGAGTCCACTACAGCTGGAGCTTATTCATCATTAATCTTCATACGAAAGTTTTTGGTCTATATATTTATGAAATGACTACACTTTGTTCCATCCACAACTGATTACATTGTTCTCTTCTTGCCCATAGAAAATACATCATGTGAACCAAATCCAACAGATAGTGAACATTCCACAGAATTATCATTGTTACCTGTGAAAATGGAAAATATCAATCCGATTATCGATAACAATAATGATAATAATAATAATGGCCGAATTAAATCTACATGTTATTTTAAAAAATTAAAACGAAAGAATTTAAAAATGTCAAAATCGTTATGTTATAAAAATAAATTACGAAACACTGTGAATAGCAATAGTACATATAATGAAATTCTGTACAATGGAATAACTCCTAGTTTGGATGATTCAATTGAATCAAACAAATCGGTAATTTCTTACTAGTAATCATATATTGCGTCTATTATTGTGTTAATATTTTAATTTAATCACTGTTTTGATACACTGATTGATTCTATTTTCATTCAGAATAATAATGTCATGAAATGTTTAGCATAATTCTATTGTAGTGAACGTGAACTCAGGTGGGAAAGACCACTTTGTTGTTTAATACAAAATTACAGAACGTCTACGTGAAAACCATACATCACAAATACTTCATTTGCACAATTCCCATCACTTGTCTCTGACAAAAGTCATCGTTCTTTCATTCCTGTTGTTATTAAAAATACTCTTTGTTTACATTCCTGTTCTCTTTACTTCAATCTTCTCAATCCTTTGCTGCTAGACATTTCGCTTCTGATTAGTGTTACATACCACTTATGTTAAAAGACATAAGTAGCATACACCACTGTATTAACTAACTAATTACGGTCAAAAACGGTAAATAACCTCGGTAATTTGACATTTCTAAATTAGGAACTACACAATGTATTTATTTATTTATTTACTTATTTGAACACATAAATATTGGTACAAGAGGGCACCAAATATATATGCGCCACACTTTTGTTTGTGGGCCGTGATACTGCCCGGATGCCCAGACCGAAACAGGTGGTTTTCTTAGGGGGCCACACCCCGAGCTTTGGACCTAAAGATCTGACCCATAAGGCAGTGGAGCATCGTGAGGAGATGCAGTCCCATGGAAGCCGGTGACCAACAGTTGGTTCATATGCCATTTGTTCCTGCAGGATACTGGAGCCCATGTGCACCATTGGTTTGGAATCCGGTTAAAGCGCCGGACATTCGCTTTTCGTCTTCTCATTTTCGTAAACAACACTCCTGCCACGAGAAGGCAGTGAGTAGGATTTCCCTGACAGAGGCTGTATACGCGTGGCCATATGAGAGCATTTCGCGAGGAAGAACGGGCCCACCCCATTCTCGGCCATACCAGGGGGGCATGTTCACTGTAGTCTTGGGTACGTCGGCATATCGCGACTGAGATGATAGTAGAGTCTGAGGTCCCAAGAGGTGCTGAGGTCGAAGTGTGACTATGATTTATGAAGATAAATCAACTGTAGCAACTCAAATGCCTTTGTTCCTTCCCCTCATTTAAATGTTGAGGATCCTATCACCGTATTTTTATTTATTGCCTCCTTTTCCTGTTCTCGTTTTCATCATTGTTCATCAACATCATGATTTACTAGTGCTACTTTTCCTCGTCAAATCATTTGTGTTAACTACAATACTCACCTTTTTTGATAATACCTCCATACAAAAGGTAATTTGACACGAATGACCAATCTAATGTGTGTCCATGATACCTATTCACTTGTTCCACCGGAGCGGTTGATTTTATCGAGGCCACTCTTTTGTTTTCCCTAAAACTTGTAATTTGTTAAATACTGTGAATATGATCTTGATTTCCTCCATGAAGAGTATTTTGTAAATTTATAAATGTTATGAACAATCGGTCCCTTCAGTAAATATCCATCTATTCATATATTGTATGTGAATTGCTCTGAATAACACATTTTTCAATAATATTCTCACACCTATATTGTTTTGTTTTTTTATTAAATTCAAGGATTGCATTCATAACTCTCATCCTGATCCAAATCTTCCTACCATCGACACTGAATATTTAAGTGACCTAGATAATCCTCCAGGAAAACACGATCCACATATTAATGTCAGTCCACGCAGTCGTAATGGTTTCACTACTCAACTGTCGACGGAAAATGAAAAGCGACCAATTGATCCAACAAGTCCTAAACAAATCCACCATTCTCTAAGGCATAATCATTTTTTACCGAACAATTTATCTGGATCTCATTGTAATACGGACAGTAATCCTCTATATGGGTCGTTAGAAAATCATGAACCAGTTCTCGTAAATGGTGATTTATCACTATCTGAATTTCACAGTGAAAAATTGACGGAAAATGATAGATTAGGTGATAAACCGAATTCGAATTGTAATACTTTTGAGGGGGATTGTGAAACAGCTCAGGTAAATTCTTCCTATCATTTAAGTTGACTTTCTTAAATATGAGAAACCTGTTTCAATTGCCTTAACCAAACATGGAAAAATAATCACTACATGAACTTAAGCATGGTTGATTTTAATAATAACAAAACGTTGTATAGTCTACATGATTAATCACTGAGTTACTGGGTGGCGTCAAGTCTCATCTTTTAATGTTGCTTGAATTTTACTGATGACTCAGACTATTAACTTAGGTGATCTAGGTTTAAATCCCATGCGGAATATCGGTTTCCCCAAGATTACAGCAATTCCTTACTGAGCATAAGACATAGTTCTGGAGTTTCGTACTGATTAAGCCCAACCACCTAACACATTGTCTAACTTATCTTCACTTAAAATAGAGAAAAGTAATCATTTTATCGCTATGCTTACGCTGTAACAGTTAATTAAAATGTTTCCAAACACCAGGTCAATATCTTGAAAAATCAGATCCAAGGGATTTTATAGTAATAATTAAATACAAAATAAGAGACGAGATTCAGTGATCAGTACTTATATTAGGCAACCTAAATGATGACTGGTCTTCCATTGATTGTAAAATAACAGTCGGTCATTTAATAAAAGACATTCAAACTTAGATTACACCCGATCGTAGCAATACATTTCCATTTATGAAAATAAATTGTTTTCAATAAAATTTATAAAGGTGGCTAGCAGTGAAAACCAGTTTGCGTGTTCCGTCTCAATTGGGGCTCGCTAGCTGGATATATCTGTATCCCAGAATTGATGCTCATTGACCGATTCCAGTCCTCAACAGCAATAGGAAGTTTCGAGCAGCCAATACAAATGAATTAAAAATATGTATAACTAGACATTTGCTATTGTTAACATGTATGCTCTAATCCAAACTACTAAGAATAGCTTATTCCTTACTACCACTATGTCGATTTGCTTTCACTTACATGTCTTTTGTGTTTTTCTGCTCATTTAAATCCTAATAAGTTTAGGTTGTACTTTGGAATTAACCTTGGTTATATAGACAGTCATTGGAAACCAAGAAGCACTTGACATCTATTTCATCCTAGAATGCGACTCCCCGGAAGCGTGTACCCACAAACCCATTATATTAATAATAATCCTGTGATTACCAGTGACAAATTTCGAGAAGTCCAACCATATTGGATGTTTGGTAACTATCCATCTATCATACTGTAAGGTGGTTGTGCATCATGTCAAATTAATTGCAATAAAAAATGTAAAACATCGATTACTAACCCACTCGCCTCAAGGTTAAGCGCTTATCGTGAGATCTGGAGGTCCTGGGGTTGTGGATGGGCGCTGTCCAGGAGTCCCACACTAGGACAAAACAACTATTCTATCGTCCCTTTATCTAATGTTTGTCTGGCAGATTTCAGTTCGTAACATAAACCATTCATCCCACTTTAGTTGATTACATATTGGAATAATGGTTCACCGAAGAGCAATTCAGTATGAGCATTTCATTCTATTTGAGATTTGTCATTCGAATTTAGCTGAGTCATATTGTTAATATTCTTGTTGGATGAAACTGGCTTTATTCTACTTCATTTCATGAAAGCCATTAACATTTAGTTAGCTTAAGTATCAAACCTTCCTCAACCTTTATAGCACATCGTTTTTGTCATGATAACTTCTACTGTATCTATAAAACACTTTCCAAATTTGTGGTTGACATCTACATAAATTCATTTAATATTACTTTAAAATGTTTATGGAATACTTTTTAATTAGATAAAAATTTTATTCTAAATTTTCCTCAAGGTATTAGATTCCAACTTACACAGTTCCTTGAACCAAAATAATGAACAATTTACCTCTCCACTTCAAAATGGTCAACTCAAATTCAAAATAGATTCCAACTGGACAGAAAGGACAAATAAAACAAATGATTTAACAGGGAAATGTAGTCATGAAGCTTCTCCTATAATCCAGCATAACGATTCAAAGTCACCGGACTGTGGTATCAAGACAGTGATTCAAAATCATATGTTCTTTAGTCAAGATACTCCATCAACAGCAACTACACAGTATGGATCTGGTGCTGTTGATGATATTGGCTGGGCTATTGTTCAACGTCAACGGGAGTTGAGATTGTTATGCACGGCAAACCATCGAATGCTTCGACGACTCGTACAGGCAGCTAGAAGAGATATGCAACGCCAAGAAATACAAAGGCGTCTAGCGATCGCAGACGCTGATGTAAGTTCAAAGCTGTTAGTTTTTTTATAGTAAGTTTTGGTCATAACTTTGTTTTAGATCACATGATCCCGGTGCTCACTTGACTAGTTGATTTGCCCAAGAAGATATCAAGTCAATGAATCGAATTTATTCGATAAAGTGTACAAGACTAATGAAATTGTGTACACCTTCATGTATACGATTACATTGGTTTCATTTACAAGTTTCAACAAAACAAATAACGACAATATTTATAAAGTTTTCATATTACACCGTCTTTTCGACCCGAAATCATGACAGAAGAATATTATGATCCACTGCTGAAACTGCAAAATGACGACACTAAGTATTATCGTTCTTTCCGTGTTTAAAATTTTGTGTATATATTTTGTTCATACAACGGACGATCTATCAAAAGTTACTATAATAACAATTAAGTCAGAAAAAGCCACAAAACACTCTGGTACGCTCGAGGGTGGAAAGAGCCCTCTCGTCCTATCCAAATTTTCTCTTATGGTCATGAGTATGTAGTCTCTCCCATGGAAGTCCTACTTACTCCTCGTGGCGTGAGTGTTTACGAAATTAAGAGGACGAAAAGCTAATGTCCGGCGCTTGAGCCAGGTTGGTAGGTACGGAGGATCCGCCTATGAAAGTCGGAAATTCTTGAATCCAAACCATTGGTCCACTGGGCTTCTGGATCTTGAGGAACAAATGGTGTATGAGCCTATTTTTCGAGATATCATCTCTAATGTCGCCCCACCGTATATGAGTGTAGCCCACTAAAATTTCATCTGTTTCGGTCCGGGCGCCCGGGCACTATCCCAACGCCCATAAATTTAATGATAAATTATTTGTGTGGCACATATATATTTCGGTGCCTTTTTGAACCAATGTTTGTATGTTTAGATAAATAAAGTCGGACGAAAACGATATCTCCTCTTCCAAATTAGCTTTACATCGATTTCCTTTAAATAACACCTTATTTTCTCTTGGTAACTTTCCCTACCTCATTTCAACTTGGTGAAACATAGTTATATGTTAATAAATAGACGAAATAAGCTTTGTGTTTTTTTAATATCATTTTTTTAACATTATGTTGAATACAAATGATTCTTTTCATTAATGTAATTGATATAACGGATAGTTTAAAATATTTATCTCTCGCTCGAGTATACTGCGATAATACGTTTATATGATAATAAGATATGTCACGTTATATCAGATTTAGTATTCACGACCTAGAATAGAGAACCAGAGTATAGACTAAACAATATTCTGTTCAGCACAATTGCAGGCAATCACTGTCAGTGAGTCCGGAGTAGAAGTCAATAACAGGAAGGAAGATTACGTATTTAGTGGTCAGTAGGCTGTGTCTGTTTCTTCACACTTAGTGGAAAATCATATTTCATTTTTACTACCACATATCAGTAATCCAATAAACGAGTAAATACTGTTTGTAAATGACATGGTTAATACTTAAAAAATATTTTAACGAATAAGTGGAATAATCCATTTAGACACCATATCTCAACATCTCTATTAAAAGATACACAGTTTTCATGCTTGAGACTGCATAATCTAATAGATTATTTTTAAATTCCAGTGGTAGTGAGGATACGCACATACATTTACACATCTCTCTCTCTCTCTCTTCCTTTTATTTGAAGTGGTCGAGAAGCTTTGTAGCCCAGGTGGATGATTTAGGTGTAGTTTTGTTTACTGAGTTCAAAGAAGTACTTGTACAATTTGTAATATTACTAATAAATTTGTAAATAAAATATTTCTTTTGTTTTTAATTATTCAGGTTATTGAAGCTTATAATAAACTAGAAAGTTATCGTCCACATCGTAAACCTCCATTGAAACGTGATCGTGATATATCATGGAAAGCATTGAAAGAACGTCGTAAAATACTCAAAGAATTAGAAGCTTTTGATGCTAAATCTCCTTAAAATTGTGATGATCAAATTAATTCAACCTATAATAGTTTAAATCCACTTTGTACATAATTTAAACTCTATGTTCATTCTTTATTGTTTCTTAAAAATAGAAATATTATTAATTGTAATATATTTTATTGCTTATCCTATCATATAGTAATTGGGAAAATGTGTTTTTTTCCGTTTAATGTTATGTAGAATCTCACATCAATATTAATAAATAGTTTTGTATACTTTAAAACAATCTGTTTTCTGTTCTTGTTTATTTTCTGCTTGGTTTTCACTTTTTCCAATCAATGCTTTATATATTTTTTTCATTGGTTTTTTGTATTCTTTATGTATGTATGTATGGATGTATCTATTTTTTTTACTCTTATGTAAGTTTTTTTGTTCTTCTTGTTGTACATAAATTTATCGGGTTTCTATTCAGTTCGTTTTTTCTACAATTAACTAACTGTATACCATGATGCTCAGCATTTTGTTTGATATCGTTTTATGAGTTCATTGTTTTCTTTAATGGAACAACAGTCTTTCTACAACCTTTACTATATATATATAATGATTATTACTACTACCACATTTGTTTAATGTATTCATTTATTATAAGCAGTAGATTTCAAATATACTATCTACTGACTAAGCATTATTCTTTTTATCTGATTGTTGAAGTTATTATCGTTACACAATGTCATGTTCTACGTTGTGACTGACTGATACAGTATAATGTATATCAGCAATTAAATAATAACTGTGCTTTTCTTGTCTAACACATTGTTTTATTTGTCACATTGCTGAAGTGAATCATCCCAATTATCTGAGTTCAGATATCTTACAAAGATTAATCTAAATTGTGGGTGGTTTCTTTTGTCAATAATCGATATCGAATTAGGATAGTATCAAACCTAAAGGCAACCACAGAATGATTGTTTCATTCCAATATGGAGTACGACTATATCAGGATTAAGACAGTCTTTGTCAGTGGAACCAGATGATTTCCGCGCTACATGGCGGATTAACTGAAGTTGGAGATGTGGAACACATGATTCCGATTCAGAATGGTCTATGAGTTAAGTGCTCACTACCAGACTTGAATATTGTGGGTGTGCACTACTTAAGTGGTCTGCGATGTGAAATGACTGTAGTCATTGAAATCTTACTTTTGGAAATGGCTTTTCTGGTTACCCTAATTAGGTTCAGTCTCTTACAACATGTCTCAATTTCTTTACATTTGAATAAACACGGCTAATTCAAGCAAAAAACACTTTCTCTAGTTAATGTGTTAGTTTATTCCCAAATTCATGAGGTAATTCTATTAATTAAATCTGAAATTTAATCTTATCTCTGTAATTCTGACATTCTAGTAATGGACTGATTTTTGAAACTTGTTATCTATTTTTTTATAGGTTTCAAATAAACTATGTAGATGTACTTACTCTAGGCATACATTGATTCTTTTTTGAGATTTAAAGCGTTTCAATTCAAAAGATCAACTTAGCTCATCTATATCAGCAAAAATAATTTGAGAATAAAGTAACTCATTCGTATTACTTGCTTCTCTTAGTGTGCTTTTTTGAAAAGAATCCCAATGAGGTCTAATTAGAGTACAGTTAATCAACTGTTTGGTTTTAAGCCACATTGATAAGTGGTTTAACTGTTTGCTTACATGTAGTTTGGAATAGACATGTGTGGTTCTTTGCTTTCTCATAAAATCGGGTAGGAGTACCCGAGGATGAGTCAGGTATGTGAAATAGCAGCCTAATTCTTACAACGACTTCAAACCCATTGGTTGCAGGTTCGAACCTCCTCCACCAACTTAGGTTTAAACAACCGTGTAGTATTACTAGCCTTCACACTAACAATGTAATTCAGAACTGAGTACATAGACTTGTCTTTGGTAAACGAATAATATGACTGATATACAGGACGTCCATCTTCATATAGAAACTTAGAAAACATTGACTAAATAAAACCCATGATTCTGACAGTGTGGATTTCAAAAACCTGGAATGGCTATCGAGTATTAGAGAATTGTGAATATTAGTGCTCCATCACCTAATGAATCAGGTCTGTAAAGATTTAAAGTTAGTCGCTAACCAAAACATTGCTTTTGTTTCAGCAGCAGAAGAATATTTCAATCGTCAGAAACTCCATATACAGATAATTAAACCGATAAAAATACATTACAATTTGAATGATAATGTAAAATTAGTCTACAGTATCAGCTTAAAAGCTAGTATTGGATGTTTGAGTATAGTACCCTGATTATGATACTTGTCTTTTGTTTCAGTAAGCTTATATATGTTGTCTTAGAGATTTTTTGTGGATGGTTGTTCAATTTTTTTATTGATAGTATAACCACAAACGTTATTGTACATTCAATACACTCGATTAAACCCTCACTAATAATTGCTTAGGTAAGGCTAAACCACAGTAAGAGTTGAGTTTCATACAACTCGTTTTTGTTTTTGTCCAACACTGAAACAATAGCTTTTAATCAAAACTGCGCTGCTGAAATAATGACTAGCTAGAGACTGAATTTTCATACTAAACACTTGGACAGTTAATAAAGAATTATTCGTCTCTCCTTAGATAACATAGATCATAATCTGCAGTTTTGAATGTCTGCAAAATTTCCGTCCTAAATTTATCGATATAAACAGTATGACTACATATGGTTTTACAAATCATAGTTAAATTTGAACTCAACTACTTTTCCATTTAAATATCCGCTCCAACATCAGTTGTAATTACTGTACACCATAAAAGTTATCAATAAAACACTGAAGATACCGGTCAATGTTTGTACTTATTTCCTTTCATTATGAAATATTTCTAAAAACCTTTAAGGACTAAGTTTTGAAAGATTTCGTATTGTATCCATCATGTTTATAGTTGCCTCGCATGTAAATACTTTTTTAATTTTTGTTTCGAAATTACTTTTTAACTTATGTTATCTTAATTAGTTCAAATTCGTGAATAAGAATTTAATAAGTTCATTTTATACTCTCAGTTATGGTTGTTTATTCGACTTCAAATGCAATAAAAACAGTTGCTTATCCTAGAATTAAAGAATATTCTAAATAAGTAATTTGTTCTTATTCATCAATAACATAATAGTTAATAAATATAGTCTGGTAAATTTTATCAGGTTATTTCGATAGGTGTGATAAGCTTTTATGTATGAAACAACTGAATATTTCCGAATTAATTTCAACATTAATAAAAGGATAGTTTGATTTTTAAAATCTTTGACTTTCAGTCATTAGATCAGAAAGTTGAACTTGTCTCCTTCACTTCATTTTGGGGAGGCATCGCATAACAAAAATTATACTAAAACCCGAATACATAAACTTCTACTTGATAAATGAGTTAATTTACATTGCTTACAAGAGTTTTATAACCAACAATTGATTATTTATTACTCTCAATCATCATCCAAATTATACATGAGTAAATGCATATCATGAGAAACTTGAATTTTCGATCTAATGAGTAATATTTTTGTTTTATCAAACTTTGTAACTGGCCTATCCATCAAGCCAAAACGAGGATAGAGTTTAAGATTACTAGTTTCTTCAGTGTCACTAAGAAATAAATCTAAGAATATTTGCGTTAATTTGAGCCAATTATTCAGAAATCTTAAAAGTATGCTTATAAATATCTTGTAATCTCCTTACATTCGATTGTTTATCGTATGTTTCATTTTAAATTTTCAGTTATACTATTTATAGCTACCTATTTTAAGTGACTGTCCTTCTTAATTCTTTTTCCGAATACTGTAAATCAGCAGTTTTCAAGAAACTCTTCTCGTCTCTTGAATAAGAGATTTTTATGGAATTTATATGCATTCCAACCATTTGTTGCACCACAAAGTAACTTTTCATCAAATCAGTCGAATAGACAGAATCAACACAGTGATACTCATCAAACAAGTCTATTTTTCAAATCAATTTTGTTGACCACAGCTCTTGCAAAAATTTGTCACGACAATGAGGATTCAAATGATGCTCAACAAAAATCTCATCCTGTATATAGTACTCCGTTAGTTGTAAAATGTGCAGAAATTGCAAAACCAATGTCTAAAGATAGACAAGCTGCAATTAAAGCTCTAGACGTGGTTGCCGATGTTGCTCAAGATGTTCAACCAGCAGTTGTTTCAATCACTAGTACCGAGTTAGTTTATTAGTTATTATTGTTAACTATTATGCTATATATTGAATAACTATAATCAATATCAACTTATGAGTTTTAATTATTAATTCTTATTAATCTTAAGTCTTCTGTGTCGTTTAATCGAAACCACTAGATAAGATTTTAATAATGTGAATACAATCTATAATCAGCTAATCTGAGTATACTTTGCACCGATAGGTCAACAGTCGTAGTTTTGACCAGTAGTAATATATTCTGATCGTTAACAACTAACTTTGAGTAGTGACCGAGGACATTTTTAAAGCTTTTCGGTCCAAGTTGCATGCTTCTCTGTAGCTCGGTATTCACTCAGATCCAGAGACAGAGGAAATAGACAAAACTCCTATTATATTATACTTCAAACACAAGTTTATTTATATATAAACTAGGAGACTGTAACACACATCAAATAAAGAATCATTAAGTCAGATGGTAAGCAAACTAAACAATACGGGAATAAGTAATCGTCGATAATTTATAATTATACTTACCCTTACTTACACCTGTTTCTCCCAATGGAACATAGGCCACCGACCACCATTCTCCAACCCACTCTGTCCTGTGCCTTCGTTTCCAGTTCTATCCAATTCTTGTTCATTCTTCTCATGTCTGTCTCTATTTCTTGATGTAATGTATTCTTTGATCTTCCCCTTCTTTGGTTTTGAGGATTCCATGTAAAGGCTTTCCTTGTGATGCAGTTGGGTGCTTTCCTCAATGTGTGTCCTATCCAATTCCGGCGCTTCCCAATTTCTTCCTCCGCTGGGATCTGGTTTGTTCTCTCCCATAGATTAGTTCAACTGCTCTTCAGTCACAATTAACTAACCCATTATCTCAAAGCAACCTGAAGAACGAACTAATGTAAGTTCTCCAACTCTTAGTGAGTTTGAAAAGGCTATAAGTAATCTAAAGCGAGGGAGAGCAGCAGATTCTAATGGACTAACCCCTGATATTTTTAGGGATGTCGGTCCAGTTTTACCAATTACATTAACTAAAATCTGGGGACTGGACGTAATGCCATCTAACGGGTCTCGAATTCAGTTTATAAGAAAAGATAAAATTCATCTTGTTACAATCACAGGAATCATTTTAATTAATATAGTATCAAAAATATTAGCCTCAATAACACTTCAACGTTTAACTAGACCTCGTGAACAGCATACGAGAGAAAACTAGATTCGTTTCAGACCTAGTCGTAGATTTATAGAATGAATATTTACCTTTCGGCAGATTCTGGACTGTTACCGTCTCTACTATTCTGGGATTTGACCTGACAACTTCATCTCTTTGTGCTAATGAAGTATAACGATTTGAATCGATGTACAAACGTGCCGGGTTCTACGTTGTTATTAACTGACTGAGAGCAAAACAGAGACAAAAGTAGATGTTAACATTTTGCAGATTTTAAGTGAAACAATGTGCCAAAAATTCCTTTCGTTGTTCGTGATTTCTTCTTTATTTCTCTATTCATATCACCTGTTACATCTAACTATTGTTATTCTCTTGTTTTGTTTGATTTTTTTAGTAAAGTTTTTCTTTCACTTCAATCACGTTCAACTGGTTCAGGTTTTATTGTAGATCATTTAGGTCATGTAGTCACAAATGCTCATGTAGTTGGTTATCGCGGCGATGTTATGGTTCATTTATGTGATGGACGTTCATTTCCTGGAAAAGTTCTAGCAGTTGATGTCTCTTCTGATTTGGCACTTATTCGAGTTAGTTTTTTTATTCCACTTGATGAAATATTCTGTTAATCTGTGATTTATTATGAACGTCTTCTTATGATTGAAGTAAACTTTACTCTTATAAACAAGAGCGTTTAAAATAATCATATTTACATTTTAGTTGCGGATTATGTCAAGTAATAATTTCATTGTTGTAAGTACTTTATCATTCACTCACGGATTCGAAAGCTTCTCCATTTCATAGGTATCAATGCCAAGATTGGACTTGATAGTTTCTCCAGTTCAGTTTGAATAATCTATGAGTATATCTAAGGTGAAAAAGATTCAAACCTATATGATAATCCAGTTGGTGTATTCAATTGATAAGAAATGCAATAACTCTGTATTACTGTTTTTTCAACATTATTTTTGGAAATATTAATTGTCAGATAGACAAATGTAGCATAGATCCTGTTAAATATATGTGCACTTATCAATTATATCGCACTGGGCAACAGTACAGTAGAAGGTAAAACTCAATGATAATGATGACGTAAATTATCTAAATGCATAGTTATATATTCGACTTTAAACTACACTTTATTTTATACTGTGGTGTGTGCTACTTGTGTCGAGAGATATTAGTAGTGTGTATCATCATTCGAATGTGAAATGTCTGGCGGCAGAAGGTTAAGAAGATCGAAGAGAAGAAGACGAGTACAGAGTATGATTGGTGTAGAAATGAAGGAACAATCGAATCTAAGACAATTGATTGACATTTTGCAAAAAAAGTATTTGCTGTATGGTTGTCAGATTTTACTAAGAGATTCTGTAATTTTGTGCCCGAATACATTTGGTTGTTCCCATCGGTGTTCTTGTTCACTACAATACCACTACCCGTTTACCCTAACTGAAGTAATTTCAGCAGGGTTGGAGTTCTCTACATAATGGATTAGATTTCAAGTACTTTAGTCAATGCTGCTAAGCCACCATTTCGTGGATAAAAACAATAAATACGGAGAACACGAAGAAAAAGTTCAAATGTTTCTAACTTCCATTTTTAGTTATAATAGAAAAAAACGAAGTGAAGTTTTTAAGATTCAAATAAGATGGTATCTCTGTCCTACTCACATGCGATATGTCCTTTAATACAACGTTTATTGAATTATTTAACTATAAAGTGGAGTAAGTCGACAGGATATCCTGGACCTAGGCTCCGCGCTATTTTGTGCTCGTTAGCAAGGCGTATATGTAGCGTTGAGACAACAACCGATGTTCCCTAGCGCATTCGATTCCATGTCACCCAGTGTCGCAGTCAGAGACGTTACCACTGGATTATCCAGGCCGCGATTGTGATACGGGATCAAATCCGCAAGGGAACTGATGTTCCCTCAACATTACAGGTACACCTTGTTGACAGTGTCAAATAGCACGCAACATAGGTCTAGGGTATCCTGTCAACTACCTCCACCTTTCATCCCATTATAATGCACATGATGTCAAGTCATCTAGACTAGTGGCCACATTGCAACTTGAACGATAGAATTTGATCAGCAGTACATAAGGATCTGAGATTGGTCACAACTCAATGATCAATCCGTTGTTTAACATCTATATAATTGTTGTATGCAAACTAGTGGTTATAAGCAACACTCACATCAGTTTTAAATAAAAGTGTTTAGCTAAATAGATTTCACTGTAGACAGTCCTCCTAGTATTTCCTTAAAATTCAATTGAACTAGATGTTTTGTTTATTTTATTCTCAGAGATACATTTGCGCATAATTATTATTCTCTATTTATGGAAATTCCTAGTTTCTTTTTTTTATGATATTGATTTAGTTAGACGTGAAGAAAGTCGTTTCAGAAAATCTTCCGCATCTACCTATGGCTATTAATGTACAAAATATTCGTCCAGGTCAATTTGTATTGGCTTTAGGTAGTCCTTTGATGTTGGCCAACAGTGTTACAGTGGGTGTAGTGTCTGCAGTAGATAGAGACTTAGGTCATTCCGAAGGTCTCAAATATATCCAAACAGATGCTATAATAACAGTAAGTTTTAAATATTGTAGATGAAAATTAACATTATTATTATTTGTAATGATCTTTTATTAACCGATTGTTGATGATAAGGACTGTAATTGACCAGTCTCTATCGATATACGTACATTCTGAGTCAATTGCTCCGATATTGACATTTAATCAGAGTTTATATAAAGGTTGGAATAGTGGATGATAGCAGTGAAATCGATTATATGCGTTTCGCCCTATTTGTAACTCGTCTTCTGGATAGATTGTTGTTAATATTCACACGAATTATCACTTGTAGCGAAAGATACACTAGGCTTACAATGCCGTTTGGCTCTCAACCAATAGTTTTCATGCTCAAATCTCGTTCTACCTAGTTCAGTTTGGGCAACGGGGTATTATAGATAACTTATATACTCAAAGTTATGGTTCAAATCCGAGTACACGGACTTGAACTTAATGAGTTACATCACTATATTCATGATAGCTGCTAAGATAGTGTTTTCAAAATAAAAAAGCTTCGTCATCCAAACTGAAATATATTCCTAATAGGATGAGAAGTCACCTTCAGTGTAAGATTATTATGCAGGACCGTTTCATAACTAACTTAATAAATAAAATACTTGAACAATACAGTATTTCTGATATAACTAATTGCTGTGTGTATAAATTCAGTTTTACACAACGGTTAGAATCGTTGATTAAATGCTTTTACAATAACAGCTTATTGAAATCCCTTGAGTTCTTTTACACCCTGTGTTAATATCCGGGATCCAACATAGGTTAGTCAGTTGTTTCCTATCTGTTTAAAAAACTTTATTACCGACACTAACTAAAGTTTAATTTTTTGATTGAGATCATGAATCAATTGATGTTAGACCACTGTTGGAAACCTGGAAGCACTAGACGGCCGTTTCTTCCTAGTATGGGACTCTTCAGCAGTGCGCATCCACGATCCCGCTCCCTGCGAGATTCGAACCCAGGACCTATCGTGAGGGAACTCTCGGAGTTCTAGTGAGAAGCGGTGACCAGTGGAGCTAATCCGTGTCGGGTAGAGACAGGTATCTACCTCAGTACAATGGAAGTTGGTTGCACAATTTCGTGGATTGGTTGATGTTAGACACTAACACCATTGCATGCCGGCTCAGTGGTCTGGTTGGTTAAGCGCCTGGCGCGAGACCGATAGGTCCCGGGTTCGAGTCTCGCAGGGAGTGGGATCGTGGATGAGCATTGCTGAAGAGTCCCATACTAGGACGAGACGGCCGTCCAGTGCTTCCAGGTTTCCAACGGTGGTCTAACATCAATTGATTCATGATCTCAATCAAAAACTTAACAATCTCCACAACCCCTATACTGATAAAGTTTAATTATCAGTATGGAGATTTGTGAGGATTGTAGTATTTTAGCAGTTGAATCTACGAGTCAATCTAAGCTAGACCACCATCGAAAACCTGGAAGCACTGGACGGCGTTCCGTCCTAGTATGGGACTCCTCGGCAGTGCTCATCCACGATTCCTCAAGGGGTACTCGAACCGTGACCAATGGAGTCCAGTCGGTATCGGGTAGAGATATTTATCCACCTCAGACGATGGATGAATGGTTGCGCAAGATCATGGATCGATTGAAGTTAGACGTTAACACTTGGTCGCCGGCCCAGTGATCTATAGGTTAAGCGAGGCTGAAAGTCCTAGGTTAGAGTACCGCGTGCGGGACCTTGAAGTTTAATGGTTAATTACGGTTTCTTTTTGCATTTTTGAGTTTGGAAATTCCGGTGGTCCATTGGTGAATTTATATGGCGAAGTTATTGGGGTTAACGCTATGGTGGCTGGTACAGGAGTGGGATTTGCCATACCTGTTGATCAAGTTCGAAAATTCATACAGTTAGCACTAAAAGCATCCTCAAATACTCGAAGCTCTTCCCCAGTATCGTCAGCATCGCCTACTGATCCATATATTTTAGCAGACAATCCAACCAATTCCGAAAGCGGAACTCAACGTCGATACTTAGGCCTAGTTATGCGAACGCTTACTCCAGAACTGGCTTTCGAATTGGCATCTCGGGGTGGACAACATTTTGTAGAGTTGAATGGTGTTCTGATTCATGCTGTGTTGAGAAACTCCCCTGCCCAAAAGTAAGTTCGCATCACTTTGAATAAATTGTAGAAAACCACTTATTTTGCATCAAAAAGAAATTATCTTGTCAAAATGTCTACAAACCATTATTATCACACTTATTTACAAGTCAATAGCTTAGAACTATTAACAATCTTCTTATCATGACTATTATTATTAAGAACTACAAATTTGCTAACACTACCGAGGTTCGACTAAAAGTTTTTGATTATCATACTTGCATTTTGAATTAAAATTTTTAAACATTATTTTTATACTCAAGAAACAATGCTCTCTGTAAAACTTGTCATGTGTGGAATCTATCTAATTATTTGACGTTCGGTCCTCCATAAAGTTTCGCTACTAATCAGCTCCATAAAGAAACTTTGCTTCTATGTAGGCTTTAGCGAGTCTTAAATACAATTCAATATGGGCTTCTTTTTGCCACTTACAAATCTCATTAGATAGATAGTGTTTACTGTTGACCTTTAAATCACCGTTCAGTAGAGTAGTAACACTGAAGATATAGTTCTTAATCAATGTTACAAAACTCTTTAAAAGCTCAAAGTGATAATTTTATATATATTTCTTTATTAACTCTGATAAATAGCTTTAAAAAATTACAAACACATTTAAAGGATGTTTAAATTATCTTTAAAAAGCTTGTTCTTAACTAATTTCGCAAGTATAATTTCAGCCTCCCATTTACATTGTTATAAACTCACGATATACTCGTCTAGTTTACTACACAAATTAAGCGATAATCATACTGACTTATAATAATTTTCTAATTAAAAAAACAGGTTTCACTTAAAGTAGTATCAACGATTTCACTGTAATCGGCATTATTTCCTAATGTCTTTGAAGAGGAATCACTCTACATAAATTTAATATTTCAACAGAGCTTCAAACTATTATTTGTTTACAAAAAAGAACTCCGAGAAAAACAATCACATCCGGAAATTATCTATCAGTTGATTCTAACTCTATTTTAAATAGCAGATCCCTATTCAACAAGTGTTTATATCGACGACCCAGTTTAATACACTTATTTGTTGAACGTCGTTTATGCATATTTGTGGGTGGAATTTACTAGCTCAAATGTCACACATATTAATACTTTACACAACACAACAACTCCACCATGATTAAGAAGCTCCATTCCCATTGTATTACAAGATTTGATCAGTTATTCAGCCTCAACGCAGGACCCGGCACGTTTGTACATCGATCTAAATCGTTATACCCCATTAGCATAAAGAGATGAAGTTGTCCGGTCAAATCCCAGAATAGTAGAGACGGTAACAGTCTGAGTGGTAATGGTGAAGATTACGCAACGAAGATATGCTTCGAAAAATGTGTGGTGAAATGAAAGCACAAGACGTCTCGAGGAATTTACCTTAGAACTTTACGACCTCGTCAGTCGACTTGCCATCCTTACCTAGTGCCATATTCCTAACCCGGCTACTGCTTACTCCGTGATCCCAAAATACACGGCTACTACTTCGAGGACACCTATGATCGAATACCAATATCCTCTACCCTTAATGGACATGTTTCATACCCATGAAGTAGGACAGAGTGAACTGCTGCACAGTAAACTCGTCCTTTGTTTGATAAACGGATATCTCACCTACACCAGTGACGCACGTCGACCAAACCGAACGAGCCCTCTGAACCCATGTCGAGATCTCGTCACACACGAGACCACCACGACTGACGAGAATCCCAGGATGAGTGAAGTGGTCAGTGAGTTCAAATACTTCACTCCCTATCGTTAATTTGAGCGGTCACGCAATCCAATTCTACAGCGACACTTTACATAATTGCATTGTTGCTTGAGGTGTTCGGAAGACTGTATTTTGTTAGTGTCTTCATCGAACAGTACTATATCATCTGCATTTTTTAAGTCAACAAGTAAACTTCCTAGTCGAACATCAATCCCTAAAAAGTCGGACGATGAAAGCGTTATCTCTAAAAGCAAGTTTACAACAAGGTTAAATAAAAATGGGAAGAGGGGAAAGCTCTTACAAACACCACTTGAAGTAACCAAATTCGATGACAGTTCACCATAAGCTCTGACTCGACCAGTAGCGTTCGAGTAGTAGTGAGCATGTACAGTAATTCTTGCGTACGCCTTTCAATGACAAACACTTCCAGAGAACCTCACGATTAACGGATCTAAACGTTGCTTTTAGTTCAAAGAATACAACCATAAGCGGACGTCGATAAATGAATTGAGCAGTTTGCGCGCTCTACTACTTCTTTCCTATCGTTAATCTGACGCAAACCAATCCTAAAGCGACATTTTCCATTCGGGAGGAGAGAAACAAACAATGGTCGGTATAATGATTCTAGAACGTGAGGTATATTAAAAGCAATAAAGAAAAAACAGAAACCTTGCACAGTTAATTGGCTTTCGACAGTGATTTTCTTCTACTAATTAACTTTGTAATATTAATCTCTAGTAATTGAGATTCAGCATAAATTTTGTATATTTATTTTACAGGGCAGGACTAAGAGCTGGAGATGTAATTGTTGCCATTGATGGTCTACCTATAACGAATGCTCAACAAGTTTACACTGCAACTGAAAGCCGAGAACAACTGACAATCACTATCGTCAGACAAGGAAAACGAATAACCATAGATCATATTCAGACGGAAAAAATTTAGAACACTAATTAGATCCTTGGTTTAAATTATTTTACACCCAGTATATAATTCTGTATTATACATACACGAGTATTTATAATTAAATCATGCACAATGCTACTATCTCTTTTCTATTTTGCATTCTTTTACATAAGATAACTTGGAAGCAAAATACACTTGCTGCTTCAACACATTGTATTTAAATATAACAATAATTAAGGTATTTTGAAAATAAAATGATTTTTATTCCAATGTATTAAGACAGATTATTAGGTATATATATATATATGCCGGCCAAGTAAATCAAGTGTTTGTGAAAATACCAACTAACAAGGATAAAGAAAAAGAGAATAAATCAAGAAGACAGAAATGCTAAAAAGAGAAAATTCTAAAGTATATTATGCTTTTTTCATTTTATTGATTGCATTATCACATCAATACAATGGAATGAGCTGCAGAACTAGTTTATCCCTGACCATTAACGCACATCTATCATATTTAGCTCGACTTTAAATGAAACATAAGGAAAATAGTCCGATGAAGCCCCGAAACCCCCAACATTCATATCTTCCTGCAAAGAGATATTCGCAGAGACGAGTAAAGTTCAGCAAAAGGGAAATGTGTATTGAAATTAACGTTTTAGCAAAATTAATGTAAACAAATGAAATTACGAACAAAATAATTCACAGTAAACATGTTTATCTTTAAACAAATAGCTACTTTTGCGGAGGGGAAATGACGTAGGTTATTGTACTCAAAACAGATCCTCTGTACGTATTTCGCGGAAAACTTTAATTTGCTATGCCATAACGGATTTTCCGTTGAAGATGTAGACTTCAGTAAACATCATTAGAATTTTTTTGAAATCCATTCTACGACCAAAACTACATTGTGCATTCCTGAAATATCATTATTATTATACATATGCGCCACATAAATCTCGTTTGATTTGTGTGAGGGCTGTAATACTACCTGGGCGCCCGAACCGAAGCAGATGGTTTTCTAAGGGGCCACACCCCGAGCCTTTGACCTAAAGGTCTGATCCACAAGGCAATGGGGCATCGTGAGGAGATGCAGTCCCGTGGTAGCCGGTAACCAACGATTGACTCATATGCCATTTGTTCCCTCAGTATACTAGAGCGCATGTGCACCATTGGTTTTAAATCAGGGTTTTCCAACTCCCCTAGGTGAATTCGCTGGCCCGGTTAAAGCGCCGGACATTCGCTTTTCGTCCTCTCATTTTCGTAAACAACACTCCTGCCACGAGAAGGCAGTGAGTAGGACTTCCCTTGCAGTGGCTGTATACGCGTGGCCATGTGAGAGCATTTCGAGAGGAAGTGATGACTCTTCCCACCCTCGGCTGTACCAGGGCATTCCTGAAATATAGGCTAACCAGTGTCTATATCTCAAGCGAAACCAACCACACCCCTCATTTTGTCTGGAAAAATATACGATTGGATTATTTCAGATCCGTACTTGTTAAGGTTCACATTTATTACATTTCAGTTTAGAAGTCTTTGTGAAGACGTATCCAATAGCCTTCCCTATTAACCTTGGGGTATTGAGATAAGAACAGACTTTTTGGTCCTATTCTAGAACCTTTTATTTAAAATAATAAATATATTTTTTCGTTATATCCCAATAAGTAGAAAAATTGTATTTCTGACGTTTTGCGATGATGTAATCCACTTCTTATATCAGAAAAATATATAAAAATTTTCTACTGATTAGGATATAAAAAAAGTATTTATTATTAACTCTACCCAGTGCTCAATTTATTTGAAACTCAAGTCCAACCTTGATATGATACCTGTAAACTCAATAATATTTTTTTATTAAAATATAACTAATTGAGAAAAGGTCATTTACGACTGAAAATCTAACGCGAAAATTTACTTTCAAATGTGCAACAAACATTTATTTTGTGTGTAACAGTTAACCTGTATAAAAGAAACTCATTATCGATAACACCGGAACACATATTGTACAGATACAGGAACAGTGTTTTATATCTCCCACCCCAATACTACACTTATAAATGCAAACATATCAATTAAGCACAAGTTTTTATGCAATTACGAACAATTCTGTTATGTGCCACAGTAATAAATATACGAATAGATGTTAATGCTTACATCTAAGACGGAGCTTGAAGACGATCCATCCAGATGGTTGTAAAGTTGTTTTAGTATATCTCTTAATTTCTTTTGCTGCTTTTTGTTTGGCTCAAGGAGTATCGCTTGAAAGTCAACCGGCAATCCATATCTACAACAAGACGGAAAATTACTTCAGAATTAGCGTATGATGTAACAGAACAAATTCAATGCAGCAAGATTACCACTTACTTGTAGATCCGGATACAAAGCAACAGAAATGTCACATTTAAAAATACTTTGGTTAGGTGTTCACCTTTGAAAGTACATTTACTAGTTGTGCAAACATGTTGAGATCTTAAAAATAGATATCCTTATTCAATATTGTTGTTTCATTCACTTGTAAAATCAGGATCGCAGTTCAGCATTGGGAAATATAATGACAGGTATTTTCGCTGGACAGTAACTCTTTTGCTCTTGTAAGATACCTTACCTGCTTTTCGTAATAGTCCACAATAGTGATATCACAAGGATTGTAAACTTGATGTGAATTCCATTCTACTTAATGACGTTCATTTCGCACTATAAGCTCCCTCATGAGTAACTCGTTATTGCAAAAGCCTTTACACGGTTATGGTATCACCTCTATTTTGAAACTCCAAATCGTGACTACTACAAATAAATGCTTATATTGTCTAAACTGTTTCAGATTTATTTTACTATAATTACAAGTGACTTGACCACAATCAAAATATTTTATTCAAAACATGAACCGTAAGCACTCCATATGTTTGCTACCTATATCAACTGGGACTATCTGAGCCACAGTAAAGCAACTTCTTAGCATGATCGTGAATATTTCTCCACCAGACTTGACGACTATCCGCGAAAAGTCCATAAAACCATTAGCATAAAGGATACCGTAAATCTATTATTTTAGTTCTGAACATTATTTCAACTAGTATAGTATGCACCACTGACAAATACTCAGTATAGATTCTGCCAGATTCCGATCTCCTAGATACGGTTACATTTGTTACTCACATTAGACTTAATTTTTCCATTTTGTTTACAACTGAAAATTAGTCTCGAGTTGATGGTAAGGAAATGTCTTTGCAACGTATGTATTTTGAGATACCATATACTTAAACGAACCTGGATACTGGGAACCACTAAATGGGATTACGAACACACCACATTTATCCTTAGATCATCGACAAAAAAATATACGACAATTGGAAGCCTTGATCAGAGTAAATTTATCTAATCACTATAATTTTAGTACCACGTATTTACCCCAATGATGTTTATTATCAGTATAATGACTTTTAGCTCGTTTCAACTGCTTCCTATGCCACAAGACAACCATGGAAGTACTTTCCATCACTTAACCTTTCAGACTGAAATAAAATGATTAAGAGGGTTCCATATGCATTTTAAACTATCATAAAGTGACATAAAATAACTACAAACTAAACAGGTAGTAGGTAAGTTGACGAAAATAAAACTTCTTACCTTAAAACTGACTCAACAAATACCCGGAGGGCTTTAATATGAACCATAGCAGAAAAAGCCTCACCAAAATTAACTTTCAACCAACGAAACAGAGGTGCCTAGTTAGGAATTTAAAAAAGTTATGCACTGAAATCAAGATGATTGGAAAAAGTATCATACTGTAGACAATCAAGGTACAACTTAGCTATATACAACAATGTGCCAATGCTATCTTACGAACCAGGGAAAACAACCTTATTTTGAAAGTAACTTCTTTTGTTATCCATCCCAGTGATCTTCAATTAAGTACAATCGTGATTCTCGTTACTGCCTTTTAATTGGTAGAAAAACGAGATGTTTGTTTTGATCATTTGGCTTTCCTTCATTAAGTCATATTCTGACCAACAGACACGCATCACTTGTGACTGGAAACAACAAAATGGAAACAGTTTCTTGTCAAACGCCTGTAAACGACAACTAAAGACATAACGAGAAGCGTGATTATCTGTCTTCAATATTTGGGATTATGTTCCAAGAAGTTTTGGTAGGATGACGCTTAAAGAAATGCATATGGCTCAATACATTTAAAACCGAACAGTTTACTGACTTTAGGAAGGAAATATTTATGTGACAAAAATTCCATAAGGCGGTATTATTAACAAAAATAAACCGACTTACAAACTGTCTTTTCTTATCGGACTCAAGTTTCGACAGCTCATTTCTACTTTCCTCAATTTTCTTCTCATCATAAGTAAAATCACGTACAACAAACCTAACAATTGGTTTTGAATATTTAAACAAACCTAAATTCACGAGCCTGAGTTTTAAAATCATCCGTCATTTTCTTGAAGAGCGTAACAGTCCACAGGCCATTATCTTGATCTTCAAAAATAAGTCTTAATCGGTTACAAAAAAGGATTGCAAATTACTCAGACGATTTAGGAACGACCATATCTGTCATTCTTTCATAATTAGATTTCCAATCATTATACATATTCCTGATAATAAATACATCAAAAAAAACTTACTTCGGAACAACAACAACTAGAGTAGTTAGGTATTCCGAATCAACAATAAATTGTTCTCGCTTCACAATATCTCCAAGCTCGCGTGTTAAGAGACTACCCCTAAAGGAATTTAAGGTACTTTAAAATATACTGCTTACGTCTGCTTTCGTTCTAGATTTTGAAGACAACCTTTTAAGGTATTATATGACTGAGACTTTGCTTTTAAATCCGAGTCTATTTTAGTAAGTTGCTATAAACAATATTACTTAGCGTGAAATAAAAATACCTCTGAAATAATAGCGTATAGTGAACTTAACGTTTGTTTGACGGGATATTTAGCATAATCCCACTGGAATTTGGTGAGGAACGCGGCAGGAGAAACTGAGGATATAAAAATAAGAAATAGAACATACGTCCATTTACCGCCAAGTTGTCTTCCAACTTGTGTTTTTGTTCTTCGAGTACATCGCCCATGTACTGGGCAACTTTCTTGGTAATACTTGAGCTGCTATTTGAACCTATTAGACAATTACCTCTCAGCATACACATCTAATTTTGATAGCTCATCAGAAAGACCCACTAGAATATCCAGCGTTCCCACCTAAAGCTTCTAAATCATCTGACATCTACACAAATACCTTGAAGTCAGGAGGAATATTGAATTTGTTGATCTGCGAGCAGATATCCTTATATTTAGACAATGTGGTTTGAAGACGCTGATACACCTGATTTGGATCCCGCTCCCCAGGTACAGATATTATCCAGAACTCCGTCATTCAACTAAACTCAAATCAACCACTACTGTTGAATATCCAATGTCTTCCAACACCTCTGTGACGAGTGAGTGTAAATCAATTTACTTCCTAACTCTTAAGTCTTGAAACCAACTAATAGTTCCTGACAGCAAAAAATATTTACTTACGGAATCTATAGATCTGATTACGGCTGGTTTCCAATATCTTCGTCATCAGCTTGTATTTGATTACATTGAGCTCGTTTCTTGTTGTTTCGGTACGATTTCAAGTATTTGATAGTGTCCAATATATGGCAGTCTATCCACTCGACTGCACTAATTCTAATCAGAGAGTTATTTATTTGTGGACTTTTATATCTTGTTGTTTGACAGGTTAGACTGATCCTGGATGACAGGAGCTGTGAGCAAGTACACCTTTGTCCAGCCCCCTCTTGAAGTGATCCACTGAAGTGGACTGTGGTCAATTTGGCTGGAATAGACTATCAAATTGAGGTCACTATTGATGAGAAATAGTGAGAGGGTACTTAGTTGTTCGCTCTTTGACGTGCAGTCTTCTGAAAGTTTCCTCAAGGAGCATGGTTATGATAATCTGGTTATATGCTCGCGCTAGGTGGCTTGTCGTTCTTAACATATTTTATGCCATTATCAGATCGCCTCTTATCCTCCTGTAGCTCAATGAGAATAATATCAGTGTTTGGCGCTTGTTGTCGTAAGATTTATGTTTAGGACCTATCACCCAATTGGTTATCCGTCCCTGTACTTGTTCAAATTTAGGTCTCTTTGAAAAAAAGTGGACACAGTGATATTGTGGAATTCAAGATGAGGCTGTGCATACGTTTTAAACAGTGTTAGGAACAACTCTGGGATGATCACCCAAAGGTAACTTTGCATAAATTGAAGATTCGTGTTTACCCTAACGGAATTCCCCTTGTTGTTTGAGCTGCCGTCCAACCTATCTGTGATTACCAGAGATCACACACATAGGTGTCATTTTGAAGCAAATTTTCATGAGGGGAGTAGGGTTTTTGTGTTAAATGAGGCAGAATGTTCAATATATGACATTTCGACAGTTTAAGTTGTAACCTATTGTTTATTGCTCATCTCTATATATATATAAGGGCCGTTTGAAGCTCAAGTGAATTTCTTATCACTTTTCATGAACCTCTAGATCATCGCGTCATCTGCATAAATCAGTACCGCCGAGTTAATTTTATCTAAAAGGTTGTTAACAAAGATCCAAAACAGAGGTAAATCTAGGATTGTCTATCGCGATAATTCTGATTTTGAGATCGTCCAACTCGTTTGCACTCTACTTACCTTAGCATGAAGCATCCTGTTCTCCAGGTTGTTTCGGAGCCGGGATAAAGTGGATCTCAACGAACCTGAAAAATTTTCAATTCTAAAAAACAAAAATAGGGGACTGTTTTGAATTCTGTGTACGAATTGGTAAAAGTGGTTTTCAAGTATTAGAAGATCCAATAAAGCGTGTTGGTTATTCATAAGTCTGTTGGAACAAAAGATTACTCCGTGAAATTGACTCAAAGGATTTTAGGACACTCGGCGATAGTTATATGATATGTCCTCAGAAGGCTACAACAGTGTGTTTGGTCAGTGAAGAATTTCCGTCCGTCGTTGTGATCCGGAGCTCAGTGTTATTTCATTAGTTTAAAATATTTAAATGGTAAGGTTTCTGAACAATTTTCGGCAGAAAAGAGATATGTTGTATTCGGCTGCAATTAAACGCAACTCAATTTCGTAAATGTGCCCTTCAGCTTAGCAACCAATCAGAATGAGGCGGGAATTATTACATCCGCCATCTTCGTAAGCAATGGCGGTCGGCTTTCTTCGTTCTGTGCTTCTTTCAGCTATTTCTTTTGTGTAGCTACGGAATTTGATGTTTCAGTGTGCTAAAATTCAAAAGTTAGTGTAATACTCTGAACGTTGGAGCAAAGTTTTTCCTGATTTTGCTTTGTTTTCTGGGTTTTATCTGCTGCTAATGAAGTCACTGTATTTATTCAGCTAAGCTGGCTAGTACTAACATAAGACCTTACGTTTTCAAACGACAATCGGTTATGTTTTACCTTGTTTTCTAGATATCCGAAGCCGAAGTTCGTTTTTATTTAGCTAAAATAATTGTTGCTGCCGCCTGTGACTCTAACTGTTCGCATGTTCGTTCCTAACTGTCCTTTATGATGCTATCGGCAAAATGAAAGGAAACAATCTGCGTTTTTTAATTTTTCTTCAGTATTATGGACAACACTATTCCACCAACGAGTCAAACTAATACAGAGTGCCCAGCAGCAGGGTATATCGGTACTGATTTCGGAAGGACCCAGACTTCCGACAACTATAGATGAAGTCACAGATGCTACCAATCTATTGCAGAGGGTTTGTTATGAAAAATACGCCATATAACAGTAATAGAGGGGTTGTACTCATTACTCAGTGCGTTAAAGCAAGCTTAACATTGAAAAGCCGGAAATCTGCTACCAGTGTCTAGCGTATGTTTGCTGTTTTGGCCATAAAAGGAAGCCGAAAGGTCATGATCAGGGAGTAAAAAGGTAATTAACTTTTTATTAAGCTCACTTTTATAGATCATATTTCACCACTCGCAAATTTGTGTTTTTTACGGTATGATGTCATCTGGCACCTATGTTCACCCTTACGATGAAAAGTGCCTGAAAATTTTCACCTTCATATTCGAATTATTTTTGGACAACTGTCTTACAGTCTGAGTGCTTCGTACGCCCCGAGAAACTATTTCTACAGCATTCGTAGTTCCAGTATAACTTTCTCACGCAGTAAGTTCAAATTAGACACTAGTCTTTCTAAATAAGGCTGTTAATCTAATATCCATATTCTCTATTTCAGTTAATCGATGAAGACATATACCACGTGCATCTGCTGTATACTGCCATTTTACTCCAATTCTAACTGTTATATCTTACTTTTGAATAATAAAATTGCTATATGCTGCAAATACAGATTTATTTGTTTTGATGGAGGTAGGGGGGCTCATGGGATTTTCACTAAAGAGCTAAGCGAGTGCGTAAACCAGTGTAAGGTACCATACGGGGTGCATTTGAGTTACTAGTGTTCCATAAGTGCGGGTAGGGGCATTGCTTGCTTGTCATATGGCATTTGAATTAGAAGCTATAAGATAAGACGCAGGTACGGTTAGGATGTGTAACGCGTGTCCATCCATCAGCTGGTGTGACAACCCATGGTGGTTAGAATAAGCTATGAGAGGACCCGAGTCTGTAGGTCTCCCAAGGAAATGACGAGGATATGCACCAAATCACTTAACCTCTACTCATTACAGTATAGACGTCTTAGAGGTGACCTAATGGCTTACAATAACCTTAACACTTCTGAACATCCCCTAAAACACCTAATTAAGCTTAGTTCCAACACTAACCTAAGGGGTAACACCCAGAAACTAGACACACAACATAGAAGAACGGACTGTAGGCACAACTTCTCCTTAAGAGTTGTCAAATGCTGGGATTTTCTGCCGGCCGAGCTAGTCCAAGCGACTTCGCAGGAGTCCTTTAAGAGGCAACTGGGTTTATTCTTAAGGACTAAGTATAGTATCATACTATGATTTACCAATTTCTTTTTCCTATTTTATTGTTAACATACCTAGTTTTCTGCCTTGAGGTATTGGTGATCCCCTGCTACTAGACACGGAAGCCTGTTAAGCGAAAGCTTCTTCTATTCAGTCCACAACCATTTGAACACATGAACTAGGTGCTGAGAGGCTAGCTTATCACAAGTTTCTTGCAACGATTAAGTAGATAAAACAAAGTAGCATTAGATTCAGAAATTTATTCAAGAACTTTCATTAAGAATCGAATAGCAAACAAAGGTTTAAACCAAGTTCCCGTTTAAAAGTTGTATTGGTAATGTTAAGCTGCAGTTTTCGTTGTATTTTTCCACACGAAAGAGTAAAAGAAGTCAAAAAATACTGGAAGTGGTTGTGAGACTAAAATGGACGTCCAGCATCCTTTTTATAATCTGCTGTTCGTTGGATCTCCCGTAAACAGTTCCATAGGGCCATAGTTCTAAGGGCGAAACAGTTTTTATGATCTGTGAAGACTTACTCCTGTTGCATTCTAAATGAAAAAATGGTGATGAATTTAGTCAGAAATGTGGAATATATAAATAACCAAATCATATGTTTCTTAGCAAAGAATTTATGCAGTTGTGATTTACCTTGAGTTCATGAATACTAGATAAGGTCAGCTACTATTACTTGCGCAAAGCATAACATGGGCTTAGTACCGTATTGCAATGCTTTTATTATTTTGCTCCCATTTAAGTATTCCCATGCATCTGCGTCTAGTTTAACAGGAAAACATACAAGCAGAGCAAGTGTATGATAAACTAAAAGTCCCAATTGTCCAAAAGATTTTTAACATTTGTCCACAGCCAGCTGCATTTAATTGAGACACAGAACACTCATCTTCTAAGACTGTATACTGCTGTTTTGCGGGCAACTAAAAGCTCAGACACTTAGCTATCTTGCTACCGATGTTATTGATGGGGAAATTGTTTAATGACAGTGACCATGAAATATGGTCAGTGATAGATGTACAGTTTAGAAATAAACACCAAACATACTTATCGCTATCTTATAATGTATGATAGCAACAGCATCAAAGGCACGTTTTTTCCTATTTTTAATGAGACTGATCTGAATCAGTATACACATTAGAAACAGGCAACTCTACTTACTAAACTGATCTGTTTCGTTACAGGCTTCAAGCACTATACTTAAGTATATCATAATTCCTTCAACTAAACTGAATTATACGACAACCAAGAACACTAAACTAAGCAAGTGTCATAGTTATTGTTTCACTTGCAAAGACATGTTGCTCAAAGAAGTTAAATGGACATAATTAAGCCGATAAAACCAAAACACGAAATATAGGCCAGTTGAACTTACCTAAGAAAAAAAGAAGGATACATATATACTGCTTTAAAGCAGTATTCAGTATGAATTCATACTGAAGACAACAGGAAGTTGATCATAGAAACACAGTTTACAGTACAACAAACCTTTCTTCAGTAAAATCATGCACTGACAGTCTATCTGGAAACAATCAACTATGTGAATAAAATCACTATGACTTGAGATATCATCTCAGCGTGCAATGGACGTACAGTGTAACGCAGTCAGACGTGGCGAATAAAGATTAAAAACAGAGAAAAATTAACTACATAATCTAGTTAT